TATCTTGAGTGTTCAATGACCAACTGATTGTCAGTGCACTATTGTTAATAGGAGTAATAGTTACATTAACAACTGACACTGATACTGGTGGACCTATTCATGTAGAGTATTAGCTATAATAAATGATACAATTATCTAACCTGTCAATTTGATAGTAAATGTAACAAAACCATTTGAAAGAGTAGCTGAACAACTAATCATAGTTTCATTCAATGATGAATCTACCGATTGTATAGTACCAGTACTAGTCACTGTATTATTCACAACATCACCAATAACATTGAGTGCAATAAGACCACTAATGAAACCTGATTTTATCATATTATTTAGCCATGATGTAACATTAGTGCTACTATGTCCCCAAAAGGCACTACCAGTTCCACTAGCTACACAAGTCAGTACTAGTCTATCACCAGGACACACTGGAGTATAAGATGGAGAGGTTTGAGTCAATACTGCTCCTCCTAATAGATCTATTGTATAAAGATAATGTCAGTTGAGTATGAACTTACCAGATGCAATACTCATACATCCAGTCAATACAAGACACCAGTAGATACCAGTAGCAGGAGCAGCCATTAGTGTATCGATAAGAGGAAGGAGAACTGAACAGTTTGCTATTAGAATATAATAAACAATGAAACTGTTTATAATCCAGCACTTATGCACTGCCATACTTGTAATAACTGATGTACTCTAATTATTGTTGCAGATCTATATTATGTTTATAAATTTTTATGTATTATGTTTATAAATAAGAAAACATTCATCTACAATGAACATACAAATTGAAATTATACTTACCAAACATACAGACAAAATAAAAGATACCCAAGATGGTACTAATAATAATAATTGTTTAATTAATGGTTAATGCAATGACATTGCATTAAGCTTCTCTTCCCCCACTTCTCCTGGGCCTTTTCCTCCAGCTTTGCTATTAATCTTTTGTATGTCCAATAGTGGCAATAGTGATAGGATATCAGTGCCTTTATTATTCTGTTATATTCTCCATTAGATATTGTTGTTGTTATTGTTGTTGATAGTCAGTTCAGTACACATTCATTACATTATGATAAACAATGGATTGTTTATTGAGACTAATTGACAATGACAATCAAAGAAGAAATAAGACAACAAATACAAAAATTAAGTCAATCATACTAAAAATTAATGAACTGATTTTATACAAAAAAGGCAACAGAATAATAGCGATTATACACATGTACTTGTGTTGTGTAAAAAACTTAGCTGATTTGATCAAATTTAAATCTTTAGGCCAAAGTCACTGTTGTACTATATGTTACAGTATGGTTTCTGGCCAAGTGAGACTTGGCCTAGTCTCGCCATGCCCCTTCGCTACCTCCGCAGGTAGCGAGCGAAGGGGCGTGGCGAGACTAGACTTGGCCATACATTTTTATAACTTTATTTGATACATATGTACTTATGTTATGTAGAAAGTTTAAACTGGTTCCATCAAAATTGGATTTTTTAAAGAATTTTGTTAAAATTGCTCCAAAATCAGGCCAAAGTCTAGTACATGTTCTTTGACCAAATTTCACCAAATGAAAATTCTCCACTTTTATAACATTCCCTGATACACATAATACATGTTCTTATGTTGTGTGTGTGTACAATATACAAGCTATACACTCACTCACTTTGTCTCTTTCCCTCAAATAATTATTAATGTTAATGTCATTCTATTATATTCTATTGGATAATAACTATGTGAACAAGTTAATACAAATAAATGACAGTTTAAACCAGTTACACACTAACACATCAATAATCATAAATAATACTATATTCATATCAGTGCAATATAATAACAATATAGTCACTTCATAGCAGCTATTCCTTTGTATGATGTATGTCTCATTTCCTCTAATTGTTATATGAACCATCAGTGAACAGACAGTGACATCAATCAGTATCAGTATATAAAGAGAATATGATGATTATGTTAATTACATTAAAAGGTGTTACCAGTACACATACCTTATTATTAACTGGTTTTATTGATGAGTACAATACTGATGGTTGATGGGTGGGTGGAGCATAATGACGTCTATTAGTGTCTATTGCCAGATCAGCATAATGACTCTACAGTATGAAATACCCTGGTAACAATATACATCATTAAAGGATACAGTAATGAATCAGTATAACAATCATTAAAGTATACAGTATTTGATCTTCCTGAACCACTACACCATTTTTAAATGGACTTGAAGTTCTATTTTACATCATATTATCTACCTGATGATAAACCACTCCTCTTATATAAGATCACCCTTTCCCCTAGAACCAGAGGGTGACCTCACAAAAGAGATACTATACATGCAAGATGTGTCAGTACTGTATATTGTATGGTTTATAATAATAACAGGATATCACTGTATGGCTGTCTATTGATATGAGGTCTGCCCCACCAACCCACTGTACATACACTCTATACCTATCATTAGTATATAGTACTGTCTATAGAAATAACTTCACATTATATTGTATATACTAAAAGAATATAACTCCTCCTAATGACCTTTACTCATTCATTCATTATCAGACAGTATATATTTACCTGAATTTGAGTTACATCAGTATTCTTGTTAACAGTTGAATATATGTATGGAATATTATTGATTTCACCATCACTTG